TTATATAGAATCTCAGAAAGGTTTGATTTAGAAGGGACCTTCAAAACCATCTCTGCCACAGACAGGGACACCTTCCACTAGATCAGGTTGCTCCAAACCACATCCAACCTGGCCTTGGACTCTTTCAGGGATCCAGGGGCAGCCACAGCTGCTCTGGGAAATCCATGCCAGGGTCTCCCACCCTCAAAGACAAAAATTCCTTCTTAGTATCCCATCTAACCCTGTCCACTGTCAGTGGGAAGCCATTCCTTGTGTCCTGTCCCTCCATCCCTTGTCCCCAGTCCCTCTCCAGCTCTCCTGGAGCCCCTTTAGGCCCTGCCAGGGGCTCTCAGGTCTCCCTGGAGCCTTCTCTTCTCCAGGTGAACCCCCCCAGCTCTCCCAGCCTGGCTCCAGAGCAGAGGGGCTCCAGCCCTGGCAGCATCTCCGTGGCCTCCTCTGGGCTCTCTCCAGCAGCTCCACGTCCCTGTGCTGCTGTTCCCAGGGCTGGAGGCAGCTCTGCAGGGGGGTCTCAGCTGAGCAGAGTAGCTGATATTTGGGTGCAGATATTGAGCCTTTGGAGGACTCACTGGTCTCTGAATGTGGGAAGCAGTGGAAGAGGCCTGTTCCTCTAAAACTTGGAAGAAAAAGCAATGAGGAACATGGATATGAAACTATGGGAGAGGGAGTGGCCAGCAGATGGGAGCCAACCCAAGGATGCAAATGGAAAAACATGGTTGCAGGTTGACTTTCACAGGTAGTGATTATGAGGAATTATCTAAAAAATCCATCTTTTAAATGTTTGCTGGGCACTAATGATGAAGAGCAGAGCTTGTCTTTGGCTCCAGTGACCTGCAGAGGATGTGATTTGAATTAACACGGTCTTTATTAAAATGTTTGGGTTTTCTTTTTAACATATAATTTTGGTGGAAGTGAAGGAGTGGAAATTTTTTTTCTGGCTGCTTTCTCTTGTCCCAGTTATTTGCAGAATTAGTGATGATTATCTTAAGGAGATAGTATCTATTAAATACCATAAGTCTATTTGATTTTGTCCTTGCTTTCCCCCACTAGTTAATAACTTGTAATAGAACTAGAAGAAAAGGAAACACTGGTGGGTTATTTCTCTTAGTCTTTCTTTTCCTTTCCAGTTTTTTTCCCCCCGATCATTTGTCAGCGCTTCATTTGCACGACAAGGTTCATTGCTTCTCCCATGTGGCTGGCAGGTTTTCTCCTCTTATTTCTCATGGTCTTCCAGTTGGGAAGGGGAAACAGCTATTAAGAGCACTATTACAGAGTAGCAGAAGTTAATTGAGGATCTTTGGATCAAACTGAAAAACCGGAGCTTCTCTTGGCTCATCTCTGCGAAGATGAACTGGATATAAAGTTCATCTTGTCCTGTTAAGTAGCTGCTGGCCAGAACAGAGATTCGGCCTAGGTCAGGGCTTTGATGTTATTACTGGAGCTGGCTTGGAGGCAGCGTGTGGCTTGGACTTCAGACAGGAATTTGGGTCAGTAACTGAGGATGATGGGAGGAAGAAACCTGACAAAACTGCGTATAGAGCTCTAATTTTGCCAAGTTTGTGGCTTTCATTACACGGGTCTCGCGCAGCGAGGCGGGTGCACCTCACCTGGACCTTCCAGGAGCAGCATCAGCTCCCTGGGCCAGCATCTCGCCACGGGTTAAAAACCACCAAAGCCTTGCTGAAGGCCGAGGGGACACTCCAACAAATGTCAGAGGGGAGCCAGCTGGAGCACTTGAGCAGCCCTGAGCTGTGGTCCCGCCGAGCAGTGAACCCCGAGCCTGTAGGACAGCTTGGAGCTCTCGGGACAAGGACTCGAGAGGGGTCAGAAGGAAACTCTGCAGACACAACTGACGGAGAAGCTGCCGTGTCGCGTCCCTGCTTCTGCAAGCTTTAGCTCCTTTGGCTTTGGCTGGGGAAATCATTAAGGGAATTGTGTACAGGGTGTAAATGTGCTGCTGCTCTCCTGGGGATAGACATTCCACCATATCGGCCATTAGGAGTGTTGTAGAGTCATGGAATGGCTTGGGTGGGAGTGGACCTGAGAGATCATCTCATTCCACTCCCTGCCATGGGCAGGGACGCTTCCCTCTATTCCAGGTTGCTCCAAGCCACATCCAACCTGGCCTTAGACATTCTAGGGATCCAGGGAAAGCCACAGCTTCTCTGGACAGGCTGTGCCAGGGCCTCACCACCCTCACAGACAGCAATTCCTTCCCAGTATCCCATCTAACCCTGCCCTCTGGCAGTGGGAAGCCATTCCCTGTGTCCTGTCCCTCCATCCCTTGTCCCCAGTCCCTCTCCAGCTCTCCTGGAGCCCCTTTAGGCCCTGCAAGGGGCTCTCAGTCTCCCTGGAGCCTTCTCTTCTCCAGGGGAACCCCCCCAGCTCTCCCAGCCTGGCTCCAGAGCAGAGGGGCTCCAGCCCTTGGAAGAACATTTCTGTGGCCCTTCTCTCCCTTTTAATTTTTAATTATTTTACCTTCTGACATATTATGTGTGGATTAGACCATATCAGACCAGGCTGAACTGTTAGAAGAAATATTTAGTAAGTAAAATAAACTTTTTAACTAATTTTTTTTTTCCATGAGGATTGCTCAAGAGAGAAGACTATGAACTGTTCTGGTGCGTGCTGAGCTGTTATCCAAGGTGAAGGCATCTGGGCTTTGTCTCTCTCATTGGCTTGTGGCGTGTTTTTGGGGCAAATGTGTTGATCTTGTCATGCTATGGGTTGATTTTGTTGTGTTTGAACAGATTTGTGTTCCTCAGCAATAAAGACAGCACTAACAAACTCCTCGTAAAGAGAGCAGCAAGGTTCTTGAATAACCTTAGTCCTCTGCAAATCACAGAGATCCACAGATTTGCAATTTAGAGGGAAATTTTAAGCTTTATTTCCAACTGATTTTGACACCATTGGATGTTCTCTCCATTGCAACTCACGAATAAAAACACAATCCAGCTTTCCCATGGGTGTTTCTTTAATGGGTTATTCAAAGAACCGACAGATTTGGCTGTTTCACAGAGATCTGCAGAGCAGGGCTCTTCTTCTCATTAACATCTGCAGATTTTATGGCAGGGGAGTATGATTATTTCAGTACAATTGCTTTGCTCCAGCTAAGCTGGTGTGGCTCTTCTCTTCATAGCTTTGTAGGATACATCTGTTTTCAGCCAAAAACAGGATATGGAAAGGAAAGGAGGAAAAAAAAAGTCAACCATATTTGCCCTAAGTTTTGGTCTAAGTCTCCTGCGATTTCTTACTTTGTCTGAGCTGGTTTGCCCGTTTGCTGTAATAAGCAGATTTGGAACAACATGGAAAGACAAGCCTGTTTCATTGGTCCATTTTTCCCATTTTTCAATGTTATTACTCGTCAGGTCAGAAGAAAAGGATTCTGAAAGTGTGCACTTTGTGTCTTCTTTACATGGATAGCCATAAATATCCTGAAGCCCTGTGTAACAGCTGCAAAACAACCTGGAACAGAAAGGACGGAGAGAGGAAAAGCCAATAATCGAGCAATAAAAAATGACCTGATTTTTAGTTTTAAACTTGGGTCAGCTCTGGGTCAGGCTGCTTTGCCCATCCCTCTGGGCAGCGTGAGGTCTCTGATGCTGTTGCAGAAGTTCCCAGATCCTTTGTGCTTGCTGCTGGGCTGGATGGGATTGCTGGGAAGGCAATGAGCTGTGTAATTTATGTTGGAATGCCAGCGTCGGAACAGGCGTGAAATTACAACTCGTTATCGCGGGCTGAGGAGCAAGATCTTGGGTTTCCTGGACAGTCACAGTCATGTCTCAGTGAGGCTGCTCCTGGGGACCACTGAAAAGCCTTACCTGGTGAGGTGGGGCTGGGTCGTTTCCTCAGTATGGGAAGCCAGCACAGAGTGCGATGTCCTCGTTCCTAAAAGGTTGGGCTGGTCTTCTCCTTCCCAAACAAATTCTTTCTGCCCAGATTTTTGCAGTTTGGAAGCAATGTGAGACAGCTGGCACCTGCTGCACTGGGGTGCTCCTCTGCTGATCCACCTCACAGCACTGCCAAAGGGGGCTGTTACACTGGGAAACGAGGGAGCAGAGAACTCCAAATGGACTTTGTGTTGAACTTGCCTTCAAAAGAGGGATTCTGGGACATAACTGATAGGCTGGGAGAGCTGAGGGTGTTCCCCTGGAGAAGAGAAGGCTCCAGGGAGACCTGAGAGCCCCTGGCAGGGCCTAAAGGGGCTCCAGGAGAGCTGGAGAGGGACTGGGGACAAGGGATGGAGGGACAGGACACAGGGAATGGCTTCCCACTGCCAGAGGGCAGGGTGAAATGGGACACTGTGAGGGAATTGTTGGCTGTGAGGGTGGGCAGGCCCTGGCACAGGTTGCCCAGCGAAGCTGTGGCTGCCCCTGAATCCCTGGAAGTGTCCACGACCAGGTTGGGCGTGGCTTGGAGCAACCTGTTCTGGTGGAAGGTGTCCCTGCCCAAGGCCTGGGGAGAACCAGATGGTCTTTAAGGTCCTTTCCAACCCCAAACAATCTTGAATTCTGGGATTCTTACTCTGAATCTTGGGGAAACAGTGCCTGGTTGCTGCTGCCTGTGAGGCTGGGATGGCCCTGGACAGGGGCGAGGGGGGTTATAAAACATTCCCCATGCTGTGCCTATTGTTCCTCAGAGAACAGCCTGACCTTTGGTGGGACCTGACTCATGGGGCTGAATGGAGTGGCTGTGAAAAAGTGACCCCAAAGAAACCTGGGGGGAGGGGGAGGGATGCCAGGCAGCTGAGAGCACAGTGATCAGCCCCACAGCACGTACAGCCTCAGCCCTGCCTCACACAGACCTGGGATGCGCCTGCTCTGCCAGCCCTAGGCTGTTTAGAGACTTTAAAAACACCCTAAATTCTCTGGACATTTAAAGAAAAAAAAAATGCCCTCCTCTGTTTGTTTTCCCCCTTGTCCAGTGTACAGCCAAACTGCTAACTAAGGGAGCTGTGCAGGGCTGCATCTTGACGTGCCAGGAGGTGTGACTCCTCAACATGTGGAGCAGCAGGAGCAGTGCATTTGGGAGACAACACTTGGTGTGTGAAGGGCCAGACGCCTGAAGAGGATGCCCACGGATGTGAAAGAGCTACAGCTGGTTTCTCCTCTCTCTTGTGAGCTTATATTCTTCAGCCTTTTCCTTTAGAGGCCAGCTCCTGCTTTTCCTTGCACGAGACTCACCCTGAAAGAGGCACCAGCCCCCGTGCTGCAGCTGTATCCGAGGGGCAGCAGCCAAAAAATGAGTTGCAGTTGTCTGGAATGACTTCTGGTAATGTTAGCTCACACACACACACACACACACACACACACTTTACACCCAGTGGAAAGAGGGCCCACGGGGACATATCACAAAAAAAAGCTCCACTTCTGGGGTGCAGAATACATCAGACATCTCTCTGCCACATCCACCATGTGAGTTTTCCTCACAACCAGGCATTGATGGGTTTTCCACAGGAAAAGGTTAACTAAGTAATTTGATGTAAATCTTCCTCAGCTCAGAGGTGTTTACTTTGTTTGCAGAGTCCTTCTGTTGCTGCTGGATTTGTGCCACCAATTTGTGTCAGGCACAGTGAGAGTACAATGAGAGGCTTCCCTTTAAATCTGGTGATGTGGCTGCTGGGAAAAGCTGGGAAAGTCTGGGAAAACTCAGTTTGTGATCAGATTTGGGTAAATTTTCTTGAAAGTGTTCACCAGTGGGCCAGCTGGTGAAGTCAGGCAAAGGTAAAGCATTTCAGGTGAAATATAAGCGACATTTAATGGAGGGAAAAAGCACTAATGTGGGAAATCAAAGAAGAAGAGGGAGTTTGTCTGGACTTGTCCTGACTAGCCTGGCACAGCAGCAGTGGTCATTCCAGAGCCCACTGTGTTCACTGCAGTAGCCATAGAGAGAAAGTAACACAAAATCTTGTTTTTCCCCAACCAAAAGCAGTAGTGGTAATTGCCGTGTCTGACAGGAAACAGGTTGGGAAGGAAAGGTTAATGGTTTTGGTAGAGCTCCCTGCTGAATGTGGTTTATGGCCATTTTGGGGAAGGGGTAGCCAGAACACCCCTCTACTGGAGCCCAGAGAAGGATTTTAATTTTCTAATATTCACTCTCCTCCCAAAAAAGATGATCCTTTGGTAGTGTTGAAATCATGTTCTCACTGCTGGGTTAAAACTGGAAGTAAACCTTTAATCACAGGAAGGTTTGGTTTGGAGGGGACCTTAAAGTTCATCTCATTCCACCCCTGCCATGGGCAGGGACACCTTCCACTAGACCAGGTTGCTCCAAACCCTGTCCAACCTGGACTTCAACACTTCCAGGGATCCAGGGGCAGCCACAGCTTCCCTGGTCAACCTGGGCCAGGACCTCACCACCCTCACAGCCAACAATTCCTTCCCAATATCCCATCCATCCCTGCCCTCTGGCAGTGGGAAGCCATTCCCTGTGTGCTGTCCCTCCATCCCTTGTCCCCAGTCCCTCTCCAGCTCTCCTGGAGCCCCTTTAGGCCCTGCCAGGGGCTCTCAGGTCTCCCAGGAGCCTTCTCTTCTCCAGGTGAACACCCCCAGCTTGCAGGATGTCCTTGTCCCCCCATCTCTTATGGTGGGTCTGTCTACAAAGCAGGTGTAGGCAGGGAGGGACAGGAGGCACCCAGTGGTGGGTATATGGAGAGAATCTCCTGACCTTGGCAACACAGCCTGGAGGAGTCAGGAGGAGGTGCTGGTTAAGGGCACCTACCTGGCTGCAGGCTGCCCAGGACAGGGGTGATCCCCCATCCCTGGAGGGATTCAAAAGCCCTGTGGATGTGGCACTTGGGGAACACGGGTTAGTGGTGCCCTTGGCAGTGCTGGGGGAGTGGTTGGACTTGACGGTCTTGGAGGGCTTTAGCAACCTAAAAAATTCTGTGATCAGTAACAAGACTTCACTTATTTTTACAGAGCCCTTTATTTTTTTGTCTTAAGGCTTATAAAAATTGTTACTTAAAACCAAAATGTTTAAAAATGTTTACATATGTACAATACGAGAAATAAATTATGTTTTAAGTCATACAAAAACCACAATATACAAATAGGGCTTTGAAACTGCTCTAAGTATGGCACGGTGACAAGTCACAGACACTTACCAAAGGCCTCAGTTATTGAAGCCTTTGCATAAAACCATGGAAAAAAAAAATATCCCCAAATGTGCTTCCTTTGGTTGGGTTGAAGCTCTACAAAAACTCGAGAGATCTGCAGGCCTCAGGAGGACTTGCTAAGTCTTCAGAACTCAGTGCACCACCTGGCAACACCATTTTTGAGACTGGCTTTCTGCATGCCAAAAGCTCAAGGGTTGTCACACCATTCTCCTCAGGAAAAAAAAAAATTAAATAAAAATAAACCAACCAAAAAAAAAAAAAAAAAAAAAAAAAAAAAAAAAAAAAAAAAAAAAAAAAAAACAACCAAAAAAAAAAAAAAAAAAAAAAACCACAAACACAAAAACCACTACTAAAAAAACCCCAACCAAGCAAAACAAAACCTAGTTCACCTCTGACAAGGTCCACTCTGCTGTAGCAAACATGACAGCTGTAGAGTCTGCCAGACTCAAAGCAAAGCCAAGATCACCAGGGACTCCAACTCCAACCGGGAGGTCGTAGCAATCAGGGCAGGATGTTGGCTGTTTGGCTCTTTTAAATATTTTACTAAAAAACAAGATCTTAATTACGCATCGGTACTACAACAGCATCTGAGCAGAGGGGAACGTGTCCTCAGCAGCTAAAAGGACTGGTGCAAAGCTCTCCTGAGGCAGCACGGTGCATCTCCTTCCTCCATCCCCTACGGTCAGCAGGGAGGGCAGCTGCTCTTTGCCTCTTAGAAAGGGATCCCCATGTGTGACTGGGCAGCCTCACTGCAGACACTGACCAGGGAGCAGCTGCCACCACCACCACCACCACCACACCTGCACCGTGCTGTGCCCCAGGCACGGGGAGGACAGAGCACTACCTTCCTATCAGGTAAATACAGAGGGATTTCGGTATCAGCCAGACACGGAACAGGCTATTTTTAAGGCAAGCAAAAGACAAACTCGAAGTTAAGTGGCATTGTGCTTATTCCCACCCCTTCCCTGAACAACCCCACGCACTTGACCTGTGCTGGTCACACCTTCCCACAGCCCTTAGTGCTACTGGACCCACGGTAACTCCTGCACCAGGGCGTAAGTTGTTCTCGGCAGCCCTGTCACCCACAGCCTGGTGGGCAGTTAGCGTGGTTATTTATCTTCTCAACTCCACTGGCAGGCAGACCAGAAGATCATTGCTGAGGTTCTGGGTGTGTGAAGATCTCATCCATGGTCCTGGTTAATGGGAGCAGGGCGGGAAAAATGCAGCGTGTAACAGGTCAAGGTAAGGTTAAATACATAAACCAGGCTCCTTGGGAAAGGGAGGATGGAGTTTTAGTTATTCTAGGTCTAGGACCAAAGTCCATCAATTGCTCCTCAGTTTCTTGCACCCAATCCAAACTGTTTTTTTTCCTGAAGAGCTAGTTGCTTTAAGTGCTACCAAGCCAGATTTTTTTTCCCGGAGCATCTTGCCACCTGCATGGTCTTCACGCATCCAGGTTGCTTGGCTGTGAGTCTTTAGGGAAGTCTTCAGAGCAGATTTGAGACAGATCTGGGAAAAAGCAGAGAGTGAAAAAAACTTAGTTAAATGCAGAAGTTAACAGGAGTAACAAAGAATTTCTGAGAACCTCTGGGGTGCTAAGAACAGGTTTGGACAGTACAGGCTGGTATTTTATTCTGTCAAAGCCACACTTTGCCCAGTAGCTACTCAGTGAGAGCCTGAAGTAGATATTATGCAGGCTGCAAACAGAAATTACAGGGCTTGAGCTAGACTCCGCCTGTGCAGCTCCACTTGGAGAGGACAGATGTTTGCAGTCCCAGTCTCCAAGCAGGGAACTATAATATTCCACTGACTTGGCAGAAACCGAGAGCTGAACAGCAAGTAATCGCTTGTCATTTCTGGGAGGAAGGATCATTTCCTAGAAAAAAAAGTGGTGTGCTGGAGCTGAGCTCAGCCCCTCTGCCTCGTGCACAGGCTGCACTCCACGAGCAGGCAGGCAGGGCACATCTGCCAGCAATTCCGTTTTATGGGGGTTACCGAGTAGCATATCAAAACAGCCTTTTATTGTACCTGCAGGAATGTTTGCTTGATCTTTCGGGACTTGTGGCAGAGCAACAAGTTTTTGCACAGGGGTTTCATTCACAGGTTGGCTTGCTACTGCCTGTAGCACAGCTTGCTGGTTTCTGCCGAAAAACTGGTCCTGGAATGGGACCAGCTCACACTTCTGAGCCGAGCTCTGCTGCCCAGGAGGGCTGTGCAAAGCTCGGCTTCCACAGGGCTTTGCTAGTCCTAACAAGCACTTTGTCCTCTGGATTAGAAGTGACAAAGCCCTAAGTTTACAAAACTGAAATTTTAGGAGAGGGCAAAAGGTTGGGCTCCATCCAAGGGAGACTATCATCTAGAAAAATGAAACAGGGCCTCATTCATTCAAAACATGACCAGAGGCATCTGAGGCAATCAGGTTGTCACTGCCGGTACCAGACTTTCTGGAAGTCATGCCCTGAGGACTGATCCAGGTGCCTGGGAGTCCCCCAGAAGGTTTAGCAGGGATGAGACGCTTCTGCAGGGGCAGAGCTTGCAACCCCCCTGAACCTGAGGAGATTCTGAACCTGGCTGGAGATGAAGCCATAGGAGTCACTGCAGTAACGCCACGGCAGGTCCTCAGCTCTGCCTTGCTCATGCAGTTGACCTCAAACTTCAACCAAGAGATTTCTTGGCAGCTCAAGGTCTTCTACCGGGCTGAAACAATCTTGGAGTGCAATTTCCTGCACTCCTCCCAGCTTCCCCCTGTTTTACAGGGCAGTTAATAGATACCTCTGCTTAACTTCCCACTATTACACAGATCTTGGGGATTGGTAGCACTTCATTTTAGCCTCTATCACAATTAGGACCAATGATTTTGCTGCACCCATTTGGTAGTAAACAGGCAAAGGTACAAGGTGA